GCTCCGACGTTTTCGGAGACGTCTGTGACCCGCCAGCTCCATAGCAGACAGCGAGGTTGAGGATTATTACAGCTGGCGAGAACAGCGGACTCCCGGCACATCGTTGTACACTATTTTTATTAATAGAGATTTCACTACTGAGGTTAAACATGATATATAAGTCACTTAGATCACTTCTAAATGTTAATGTTTGGTTTATTTCAGTGTTTTATTTGTTCCTGAGTAAACCGGTTTGGCTGTGATTAAAGTTCAGCTTCATAACATATTACTCACAGTTAAATTAAGAGGGGACGGCAGTAAAAACTCCGGACCTGTGACATCATCAAGTACGCTGATGTTCCAATTGTACAAATCGCGAGTCCGTGCTCGCGTTCTCGGCGAGTCCGTACTCCCGTGCGTTCTCGGCGAGTACGTACTCGTCGAGAACGCGAGTATGTACTTGCGTACTTGAGAATTGAGAAAGGGCGCCCGAGTTTTTTTTGCGAGATCCCGAGTTTGTTTTGCAAGATCTCGCAAAAGTCCGTCTTAATTTTTTTTTTTTCTCCCATGTCCCCTGCGGGGCTCCGTAAATTCTTGTGTGGATGTGTGTAGATTTTTGTAGTTATGCATATAAACTTACCTCAAATATTGGTGTCACAGCTGCCCATGTCAAATAAAAATGAAAGTCAGTTTCTGAGTTTGAAAAATTGAATGATGCAGTCAAAATAATGTCGTCCTCACAATGTGAAAACTTAAAAAGAAGAATATCTGCAAACATGAGGGTATTGTTCTAAAATGCATTTGTGAATAACCGTAGTGATAAATCTCAAGGTGGTAGAAGCTTTACTGACCACTTTGAATGGATCTCGCTACAGTTTTCTTCTCCGCCTGGAGAATGGATCTCAGTCCTGATAGTCTCATGGAGATACATATTAATATGTATCTCCATGTTTGGACTATCAGTCAATAACATCATTTAGCAAGAAACATTTATCAGTAGAGTTTAAGTATCTTAAGTATCTGCAGGTGGAGCCGTCGTCCTGCTTAAACCATGTTTTGTTTTTTACTCTCCCAATAAGCTACGACATCTTTCATTAAAAACTGCTACTGGTACAAATGAAGTGTGACAGTTTCATAAAAAGATGCTAAGCAGAATTCGAGTAAGCAGAATTCCCCGCAAATTATCCACGTGTCAGGAGAAAATCTCAGCAGACTGCCACTCTCCAGGGCTAAAGTATGTTTTAATCGATTGCCAAGGTAACATCCAAAAACAGCAAAAATGCATCACTGTACATAGACACATGTAGCGCACACTAAAAATGACTCTGCAATCAGTTTTATTATAAACACAGACAGCCATCCATATCTCTGATTTAAAATATCTATATATTCATTTTACCAGCTGCTTTTATTACCCACACAGGATAAGAATATTAGCCAAAGCATTGGCAGAGCTACTGTTCAGAGAGGCAGACATCAAGTTCCCTGTGGAGCTTTTCATTCTTTGCAGCGTTGAATGAAGTGTTTTCTACGATGTATATGTACGTGCTCCGAAGCCATGGTCGAAGGACAGCATATTCAGAAGAAATTCTGCGTTTTGTCATGATGCAGCCATGGTTTATTGTGATGATGATTCATTTATGTCTAATGTACAATTTGGTGTCTTAAATGTGTGA